GGGGCTGCTCGCCGGACAGCGGCCGAGGGGTCCCACAGGCCGGGACGCCTGTTGGTATTGGCGGCTGTGTCGTGTGGAAAAAATTACCAGGCGCCCGGGGCGGTGCTGCCTTTTGGATCCTGGGCGGAGTCCCACCCGCGAGGTGCGGTCGGGACCCCTAGCCCTCGCGGGGAGGCCGGGACTTGGTTACTCCGGAGGCAGGCCCCGGCCTGGGGCACAGCCAAGCAGCGGTTTGCGGCCTCTAGGAATAGCGGTCGGATTTGGGGGTCGGTGTGCTTTGGTTTTTTTCAGAGACCTGACCTGGCCGGGGCGGTGCGTTCTCGCGGGTCTTCCAGGCTGGCGCGCCCGTGGGGCCCTCCCCGAGCGCAGGCCCCTCCCTCCTTGCCTTATTTATTTCTGGCACATAGCCTGCCACCTTCCTAGACGGCTCGAGGGGCGGGTTCCTTGCACTTGGAAGCAGGCTGATGGGCGTGAGTGTCCGGGGCTCGTCCACCCGGCCCGACGGGTTGGGGCTGTGGCGCCACATGGCTCCTTTCCTAGGAAGCGCCAGGGGGCAGTGGGAACCGCCACAGGGGCCGCTGTAGCGGGCCTTAAAGGATGGGAAACCCGATCACAGATGCCCCCGCCCGCCTTCCTTTCACCGGACCAGTGGGAGAGGGACCGCAGGGACATTAGGCCCTTCTCCACGTGTCATGTGCGACTCTTAATTTGGGATGGACAGAACAGACCAGTAGTTCTCAGCGCCTTTGCTTACCCTGGGGTTGCTCAGAAGACTTACTGGTTCCTGGTTCCTTCTTCCCTTTTGAAGGACTTAAAGGAGAAGAAGGAAGTTGTGGAAGAGGCAGAAAATGGAAGAGACGCCCCTGCTAACGGGAATGCTGTGAGTGTCCGCCTTGCTCCTGAGCCCTGGCAGCTACCGCCCCGCAGTTTTTTCTTCTCTACTTTAAACATATATATGTATAGCTTTGCACAGTGGCAGTATCGCAGCCAGTGAGCTTTACCCGAGGCGCGAATATTGCTAGTTAAATATTTATAAAAACCTTTCGAGCAGCGCCTGAACAAGAATAGGTTAAGAGGAGCTCCGGTAGTCTGAGTTTGGGTTTGTCCCAGGGTGGGGAAGCCCTTGCCCTTGCCTTGGGGCAGTTAATGTGCAGGGTTCATGATGGAGCCTGAAGGGTGTTGACTGGAGAAGGGCCTCTGGGATGGGCTTGGCTGGGCTGTAGATGTAGCTGGCAGCCTCTGGTGGGAGACTGGGCATCTAGGAGCAACGCTCTGTCCATCCCTGGACCAGCTGGTAAAGAACGTGGTCTGTTTTCTGTCGAGGAGAATGAGGAAAATGGGGAGCAAGAGGCTGACAATGAGGTAGATGAAGAAGAGGAAGAAGGTGGGGAGGAAGAGGAGGAGGAAGAAGAAGGTGATGGTGAGTAGCCTTGTCTGTCTTCCCGTTTTCAGGTACTTCCTGGTCTTGTCTGGCAGAAGGGGAAGGAGTTGGGGCTCCTGGGAGTGGGACCATGGTACTTGGGGCCAGTGGACCACATGATCGTGGGCACCCACCTGTAGAGTCAGGGAGGGTCTCCCTGACAAGGAACTGTGCCCATGCCCACTCACACTCACTCGCACACCTAAAAGTTTGTTTCGTGCAGCTCTGAAAGCCACTGATCTGTTGGGCTGGCTTCTTGGGGTGCAGCTGCTTGGGCCTCTGTCCTGGAGATTCCCACCTGTGCAGTGGGCATGTGTGTCCTGATTGGGCCCAGTTGCAGGCAGCAGAGGCAGGGCAGGGACCTTGCAGTCCGCCACATGTTCCTCGGGATTTCCCCAGGAGCCACAGTAGGAGGGAAGTGTGGTTTACCTGGCCTTTGATTCTCCAGGTGAGGAAGAGGATGGAGATGAAGATGAGGAAGCTGAGTCAGCTACGGGCAAGCGGGCAGCTGAAGATGATGAGGTGGGTTCTGGCTTGAGAAGAAGGGGGGTTTGGCATCTGGGTCTCCCCACCTACCTCTAGCGGAGGTGCTCAAGCCACGGAGGGACTGTTTCTGACTTTGGCCACTGTGTGGTCCCGAATCTTAAGAACAGGAAGGAACAGGGCTGGGCTCAACTTCCCAGAGCAAAGGCCTTGGGCTGTGGAGCTGGGGGTCCCTCGTTCTTGCTCTGCCTGTGGGAGCTGAGGCAGTGGGCTGGGTAGGGCCCCTGGGGTTGGAGGGGCCTTTGACAGTCTTTCTTTGCCCAGGATGACGATGTTGATACCAAGAAGCAGAAGACCGACGAGGATGACTAGACAGCAAAAAAGGAAAAGTTAAACTAAAAAAAAAAGGCCGCCGTGACCTATTCACCCTCCACTTCCCGTCTCAGAATCTAAACGTGGTCACCTTCGAGTAGAGAGGCCCGCGCGCCCGCCCACCGTGGGCAGTGCCACCCGCAGATGAC